CTTATTGCAGACTTCCCTTACAAGGTCGAACAGTGTGCTTCGGGAGCAGTGTATTGTCAGATCATCGACTCGGTCTTTCCGGGTAGTAGCGACAGTAGTGCTTGGGAGGTGCTGAAGTGTGTATCAGGACGTGTACCGTTGAAGAAAGTGAACTGGATGGCTAAGGTGGACTATGAGTATGTTCATAATTATAAGATATTACAGAGAGCCTTTGATCAATGCAACATAGCTAAGCATATTGATGTTGATAAGCTATGCAAGTAGTAGTAGTAGTAGTAGCAGTAGTAGTAGTAGTAGTAGTAGTAGTAGTAGTAGTAGTAGTAGTAGTAGCAGTAGTAGCAGTAGTAGCAGTAGTAGTAGTAGTAGTAGTAGTAGTAGTAGCAGTAGTAGCAGTAGTAGCAGTAGTAGTAGTAGTAGTAGTAGTAGTAGTAGTAGTAGCAGTAGTAGCAGTAGTAGCAGTAGTAGTAGTAGTAGTAGTAGTAGTAGCCTAGCATTGACCCTGTGCTATTATCAGGGGTAAGTTCCAGGACAACCTAGAGTTCTTGCAGTGGATGAAGGCATTCTACGATGGAGCTGTGTCGGCTGACATCGCCATGAGGTAAGTCGGAAGATAGACCATCCCCTTGGTACAGCTATGCTCTTCAGTTATGATCCCGTGGGGAGGCGACAGGGGTGTCAGTTGCCCCCTTGGGCAGCTAATGCGGCCCCTCCTAGCCTCGTTAATAAGGAAAACTATGCTTGCAGAAATGGAGGGGCTGCTCGTCCGGTTGGGAGGCCGGCAGGAGGGATGAAGACTAAAGGTGCATGTGATAGGAAGAATGGGTCCTTCGTAAAGGTGGTCCTCAGTTCCCTGCACTGGAGGCGTTAGACAAGTTCAAGTCGACCCGACGCGATTCGTGACTATCGAGGAGTATGAGGAGTTGAAGTAGGTCCTCGGCGCTGACCGGTGTGGGTCCCATGGTGTATTAGGGAGAGTGCACTGTGCTTGGAGAGGGAGAGGGACTTCTATTTCGGCAAGCTGAGGCAAGTGGAAATCCTCCTACAAGACGTTGATGTGAGGGGCCTTTGTTCCGGTTGCTGGGGAGTGTTAGGGGCGTATTAGGTGTCACAGAAGAGCACTGGAGAGTTGAAGGAGATGGTCCAGAGCATTCTGTAAGGCGTAGTAGTAGTGTTTACGGTATGGTATTGTTGCTACAGGTTTGCATCGGAGGAAGAGGGTGAGCTTATTGGGGAGGAGTTGGGCATGGACGAAGGAATGCATGGGGAGCATGCTGATGCTTTTGAGGAAGGCCCGATGGAGGCAGTAATGTGAGGGAATAGCAACTGCTACTATCACTATTAATTAACATCATCTCGATCATAATGCTGGGAGTTGGTATTGTCAATTCAAAATAGTACATAACTTGGAATCTGAGGTTCAGCACTGTAAGACACGGATCTGGTTCCGGCAATAGGAACAAATTACCAAGTCTGTTTCGTGGCAACTCAAAAAGGGAATCGTCGAGCAGTAGTCAATGGGCAAACGCCGATGTGGGAGGCGCTTGCTTACAGAATGGCCGATTATGATTCCCATCATTATCATGACGGCCAGCAGCAGCCTCGAAGGCCTCCGATGACGGCCTATCTTGGTAGGAATAATAACGGGAGTATATGCTCAGTGAAGAGGTAATAATAATAATTGTAGTCGTGCCAGTAGCATAGTCTCTTCAGGATATCCGACCGACGGCGGGAGCCTCAGTCCCTCTCAGTCGTGGAGCATAAGGATCGGCGGCCGAAGGCTGAGGAGAACGAAGAAAAACCAGTAGCCCCGAGGGATGGTGATCAAGTGGCCCTAAGAGGCCCCTCCTCCCCTCGCCCCATAACTGGGGGCTCCCCGTCTAGGAACACACCTCTGACTGCATCGAAATTCACACGTAAAGCAACAGACTTGGCGAAGTTTGCGTTCATATGCGGCCCTTAGGGTCAGTGAGAGATTTCCGAGGCTCGAGTCCAACAGCTTCGGTGATGAGGTCAGAGCACAGCCATCGGATAAACATATCTCCACCAATGCCAGCAAGGGCCCCTCCGGACCTTGGAGGGCCCGGGGAAGGAAACCCCTCAGTTGGAAGTGATACGTGAGTCTCAGGATCAAGCTGCTTACTTTCCTTGCTGTAGATCGTACGAGTCCGAGGAGACGCCACGTCTCACCCGAACGATCTCGAATGCATCTAGGGGACAAACCCAGGAGGGTAGGTAGGGTAGAGTCTTGACTTGTTCTACTGTGCATTCAGGAGGCCCATCCCATGGGGGAACGATCGAGGTCCGCCCCTCGTATCGTCGGCCCCCAACGGGCGTCTATAATGCCCCACCCTAGTACAGCTCAACTGCGGCCCTCTGGGAGCCTCATTTTCTTGTCGACCCCACGAGAGACGGCGATGCAAGGAGCTCCGGTGGGGTCTATCATGCGTGATGTCAAGGATGGATGGTATGAGTTTAGGTTTACTCCAATTCAGCGCCACATTCCTACTTCCGGAACCTGCCTGGCCTCGACAGTCTCCCCGTTAGTCGAAGGCTTTCCTTCACTGAACCCTATAGAATCCAAGCGCCCAGAATGCGCAGCAGCCTATTGGTGTAACATGATGCCTTGGGGGCTATGAAGTTGTTCAAATACGACTATTGAGTTGCCTGTCAGTGAAATGTTGACAACCTGTAACTTCGTGGAGTCGAGTTCCAAGCTTCCTTATTTAGTTTACCAATCCTTAGAATGTATTTCTAATATATTTATTATAGATTTATATATCCACTGTTATAGATTATCATTAGTATATACTAACCACAAATATATAGGTCTATATCCTGTTCTTGCGCAGCACCCCTTCAACCAGGAGAGTAACAACCAGTATAAGGGTATAACTGCAGGCTCAGTCGGTGCCTGGGCCCTGGCGTAAACTGGTAGACAATGTGTGTGAGTTCAAAGTCCAACGCCTACCACGACAACACGGCTTAGTTGGACCGGCGTCGATGCACATTGGCTTCCGAGGGATCAGTTTTAGCCTTTTAAATTGGCTACTTTCATCCTGCCAATGAGTTTTGTCCGTAGTAGTTTGGAGACACTGTGTTTTTACATACCAAATTTATATCAATTTTATATCGAATCGATAATATGCTAATAAATGATATAATTGTGCGACCAGTCATTCATCGAATTTATTCATACACCCCCAATTTTCCACATAAGTGGACTGTGGCCTCTACTAAGAATCCCCCAAGAACGAATGACTAACATTGACGACGAAAGCAACACCAAGATGATCCTTTCCGGATTTATCATATCCCAGATGTGTCCTCAACACCAACGTCGCATAGTAGCGGAGTCAACGGCATCATCTTGAGCACAGACTATAAATAGTAGTAATTACTAGAAACTGAAATAATACGGCAGTATGAACAGACGCCCCACTAGTAATGGGGCATTAGTCTTCGTAGAAGCAGCTCCCTTAGGCGGCGAGCTTCTTAGCCTTTTCACAAATGTTCTCCGGAGTGAAGCCGAACTTGGCCTTGACATCCTTGGCGGGACCAGAGGCTCCGAATGTGGACATGGCGATCCAGTCATCAGCATATCTTTCGAAACCGAGGGGACTGGCGGCCTCAACCATCAACCTCTCGACACCCTCAGGGAAAACAACCTTCTTGTAGTCATCAATCTGCTTCTCGAAAAGATCCCAAGAAGGCATAGACACAACACGAGCATCAACGCCCTGCTCGGCCAGCAACTTCTTAGCCTCCACAGACTGGAGAACCTCAGTGCCACTGGCGACAATGATGACCTTCTTGTCACCCTTACCAGAGAAATCATCAATAATATAAGCGCCCTTCATAGCACCCTCAGGAGAGGAATGGTCGAAGGTGGGAAGTCCAGAACGACTAAGAATAAGAGTAGTAGGACCCTGCTTGTTGTTCAAGTAGGCCATATAGGCACCGACGGTTTCGCGGCCATCACATGGTCTGATGGTGCTCATGTTAGGGGTAGCACGCAACAAGGGGAGCATCTCAATAGGCTGATGAGTAGGACCATCCTCACCGAGATCGATGGAGTCATGAGTCATGACATAGAGGACCTGCTGCTGAGACAGGCAAGAGAGCCTGACAGCACCCCAGCAGTAGCCAATGAAGTTGACAAAGGTGGCTCCGAAGGGAAGGAAGCCGCCATAGGCGTGCATACCATTCAAGATAGCAGCCATACCGTGCTCGCGGATACCGAACTCCATGTAGCGGTTCTGCATGGCACCCTTCTGCATGACGGGGAAGCTGCCCATATTGGTCATGTTAGAGGCAGTAAGATCAGCAGAGCCTCCAACAACCTCAGGGAGGCGCTTCATGAGAGCAGCAAGGACCTCACCACTGGTGACACGAGTGGCCTTAGCCTTGTCACCAGGCTGATACTTGGGGATGCACTCGTCCAAATCGATGGGCAATTCTCCCTTGAAACGTCTGACGAGCTCAGCGTACTCAGTAGGATAGGCCTGGGCGAACTTAGCAAGGAGATCATCCCACTCCTTGTTGGCCTTCTCACCGCGAGCAAGGGCGCTCTGGTAGAGACTGCGGACCTCAGCGGGGATCTCAAAGTGCTTCTCAGGGTCGAAGCCAAACTCCGTCTTAACATTGGCGAGATCCTCGTCACCCAAGGGGGAGCCATGGACCTTAGACGTGCCCTGCTTGGCGGAGCCGTAACCGATAGTGGTATGGACCTTGATGATAGTAGGCTTGTCGGTGCACTTCTTGGCCTCCTCAATCTTGGCTAGGATATCAGTGAGATCAGTATCGCCCTTAGCGACCTCAAGGACCTGCCACTGCATACCTTCGAACCTCTTAGTGATGTCCTCAGTGAATGCAACGTCAGTGTTGCCATCAATGGTGATATGGTTATCATCATAGAGCAGGATGAGATGACCAAGGCCATAGTGACCAGCAAGGGCACATGCCTCGGAGCTGATACCCTCCTCGAGGCAACCATCACCACAGATAGTATATGTGTAGTTGTTGAAGATCTCATACCCCTCACGGTTGTAAGTAGCAGCAAGGTTAGCTTGAGCAATAGCAAGGCCAACAGCGTTGGAGATGCCCTGACCAAGAGGGCCAGTAGTGACCTCCACACCTTCCAAGAGCTCTCGCTCAGGATGGCCAGCAGTCCTGGAACCCAACTGACGGAAGTTCTTCAGCTGGTCCATATCGACATCCTTGTAACCAGCAAGATGCATAAGCACATACTGCAAGGCACAGGCGTGGCCGTTGGAGAGGACGAAGCGATCCCTGTTCCACCACTGGGGGTTGGCAGCGTTGTACTTCATAGCGTGGGCATAAAGAGCATGACCCATAGGGGCACAGCCCATAGGGGCACCAGGATGACCAGACTTGGCCTTCTGGACCATCTCCGCTGCGGTGCATCTGGGAGAAGGAGGACCATCAACTCACTGAGTGGTGAAGTAGAGACTTACCGGATGGTGTTAATAGAAAGTTGATCCAATTCGCTGCCAGACATTGTTTTTCTCACTTTTGCTGCTGATTGAGCGTTGGGCATTTGTGAAGGGCGAGTGACGAGGCGTAGCTAAAAGGCGCAGCGCGTCCCCTTTACTGTGTTAGCTATGTTCATACCGGCGCATGTCGTGATGGTTTTATTCACCGAAATTGTGGTGAATTCAGTGCGTTCCTTCCTAGAGATTTAGGAATATTCAGGGATATGTCTATTGCTGATTCGACTGATGTAAGCGTCGGTGAGCATAGGCCCTCTGTTCTCCCCCTCTGAGGGTTTGTGTCGTTGGGGACAAGTCCATGGGCCCCTTCAGAGGTTCACCCAATCGTCCATCAACTCGTGTAAGGACCATCGTAACGCTAGTAAGAACAACATTAGCGTACTACAACGAAACACGATAACAAGTTACTTGATCGATACGGTAGGTTCTCATCAACGGCATTCGATGAGGGCCTTCTGAGGAAATCAGACTGGACTCTTCATAAACGAGTGCACTAAAGAGTCGCCGTTAGAGGCCTTACAGTGTGACTGGAGTAAGGCTCAAGGCTCCACCAAGGAGAGGGTTCAATGTCGTGACATTTGCTTACCCACGTACAGGTCCAGCGTTGAGGAAGTGCAAGATTCATCAAGTAAAGCAAGAACTAGTGCTCATTGTGTCGCCCGCTCGACTTGTTTCGGAGGAGCGTCGCCTTAGAATATCGAGGCCACAGCAGAAGGCTCAGGAGATAACCGTTGGCGACTACGCCAAGTCCCAGGGTCGCAGCTCGGTGTTCGAACATAGGTCTCCGACCCAACTCTTGGCTGCCCGAATCTTTTCTTTTCGCCGTGACGAGTAAGCCTCCTCACAGTATCGTCTCTCGTCACACCTTCGCCCTACTATCGCGTCTCGGCGGGCCCTTGGGCCCTACACATGTACCTGTACTTACTAGTACAATGCCTTCTGTCTCTGTTTTCGACTTTCACTTTTCAGCACTGGAGGGGCAAGGACAGAAATCTTGTGGCAGTGTTGCTCCTACTACCCAGGCTGTTGCCCCATGATCTACTTTTTTTACGGTGTATACGCATTACAAATAAAGGAGTATGATGTCTATGGGTAGGCCAGTGGGAGAGTGGCCTGTCTTCAGGTTGTTACGGTATTCAACACACAGCAATCTCGGTCATGTGGCCTCCTATTTCACCATTGAAAACTTCAAGGCGAGCGAGTTCATGCGGGAAGATAGAAACTCCAATTTTGACAGCGCGTGGATCTAGGAACTCTGATATAATAATAACTCCTATTTTGCGGGTAGGAACATCAACTTCGAGGTGGAAGCCTATGACTGGCCCCTAGACAATCCTAATTTTGTGATTTCACCCCATCCAACTCGTACCGCTCAAAAACCAAGTTTCATAACCAACCCTAATAGGAGGCTGTTTTGGTCGTAACTACGATAATCTTCAACATTCTCGAGATGAAGCCTATGAGATTTCGATTCTACTCAGTAGAGCGAGCGACATGATCGCAAGTTGATCCCACTTAAGCGCAATCCTGCCGGTGATTTGGGTCTCTTACCGTAAAAGTCTTACGAGGTTGTGTGGAAGGCGGACACCGTCTGTATGGACCTCGGTATGTACCCTTCTGGGCTTGACCAGTGGTAGAACGAAATTGATGTTCCTGCGTGCGAAGTAGGAGTTATTATTGTGTCGAAATCGAAATTCCTCAAACAGCGCACCTTCGAGATTGAAGTCTCCAGAACAGCGAAGCGAAGAATTGGAGGTTTCTGTGGGAGTATCTTTTCGCATGAACTCCCCTCGAGAGTGATGATATTAAGGTTAGCAAGGCATGGACCGCAGCCGCTGTATATTTCTGTAGTTAAATATTGAGGTATTTACCGAGGACTTCCTCATATTTCTCTTTTACTCAAAGGTTGGCTGTCATAGTGTTTGACGGGCTGTTGTGCATGTGTTGGTGACAATTTGAAGTTTCTGAGGAAATTTTAGTAAAATACTACAAGGTGGTATCAAAATCCTGGTTGGTGTTCTCCCCTCTAGTGCTCAGTACTTGTGAATGTACTTGTGCCGTATCAGAGATGCTTCACCTTATAACGGGAGTAGTCCATTTACGGCGTAGTGAAGTGATTCTATCATAGTATTTTCATGCTCTGTTGGTGACAATAGCAGACACGCTGTCCATATTCCTTACGAAGTTCTGATGCTCGTGTCTTTCCTCCACATCTGTATTCCCCTCAGGAGGTTGTTTCCCTTTTCCACTTAATGATGGGCATGGACCAACCCTCTGGTACTGTCGGCATCCCCTATCATCGAGCCCAGTCCAAGGGCTTTGACGTCGATTACGATCAGTCGAGAGGCTCCTTCATGGACCAGATACGACGGGCGCTCAAGAAGGCATTCTCGAGTGGTGACACGAGTAGCCCATCGAATCGACAACAGGGGGAATTTTACGCTTCTCAAGTGTCGTCATCGTATGCAACGGTGTCACGAAGAGTCGATCAGCAGGAGGCGGACAGTTTGGGGTCTAACTCGACAGAAGCTCCACCTTGTGAGGATCATGCGGCTGCTATGGTAGTAATATTACAGGATTTATGGACGACGCTGTGCATTTAGGCATCGCATGAAAGTTTCCATGTGCATCATCAGGCAAGTAGTCGGTGTAGTGGCAATAAACCACCAGTGTGGTCGTCAAGTCGCAGACCACCGCCTCCTGCCCGCCGTGTACCTCAGCCGTGCTCCTCTTCACGGTTCATCAACAATCCATCGTCGTCTCGTCTACATACGATGACGGCAGCTTCATCCGGTAGGCCCAACCCGTTTGTAGACGACTTGTGTTCTCGTCATATTGAAGGCATGCCTGGCAATGGAGCATTGATGCCAAGAGGAGGAGGAGGTAGTAGTAGTGTGGTCGATTCCCTTCCTTTTTCGGAAAATTTTTTACTCAGAATTTTTCCCCGACCGGAGGGCCACTGAGACTACGGTGTTTCCGTCTGAGGCAGAAGCCGTATTTGCGCGGATGCGCATGCTTGGTCAAAAGTGTAAGAACGATTCTGGTCGCCACAAGTTGAGTAGAGATCCTATTACTGGAGAGAAGTTGCTCGTTTTGCGGTAGAGCAATTTCGACTTTAACGATTGCTGTCTATTATAGTCTTGATAATATTGTTTATATTTGCTGGCGACGCCAGCACAGCTGTAGTCGCCGTTGACGTTAGAAGGTAGTTGATATGGCAATGTTCCTACTTGAAAGGAGCTCTATCATATCTACTGCCAAACTACGATGGTTTCCTCTCTCTGATTTACTGTTGGGTTCCCCTAGTTAGTTCGAGAAAGTGATAATTCTCATCAGCAGTTTCGAAGAGTGATCGAATAGACTACCCAAGGCAGAATTGACCAGTTGTCACTCCTTAATCGACATTTCCTCTACTAAAATGTAAATACTACTTCGTAAACGTATCATCATTATCAATCTCACGATGCATTTTGATCATACTAGTTATTGGTATACTAATAGCAGTCGACAGCCTATATGACATCTACAATGGGCACATTTTTAATCCTGATTTGATTTCTGGCAACGTTATCAACATCCCTGGGCACTTTTGTGACAATAACCAAAGACTTTTGTATCGAGAGAAGGATGGTGTTGAACAAAGTTGAGAGGACACATTGAAGCGAATAAGAGGTATTATACAACCATACCAAAACGTCACTATGCTGCCTCTCAATGGAAGAGTACCGAGAGTCACCATCATCAAGACGGCGACAAGTTCTCTACGACTATTGGGGCACTTCAATGTTACTCACCTCACTCTTCAATGTTTAGAGAAAATCTCGATGTAAACGATCGGACACCCTATTCACAGGTGGTACATCTTTCTTTACAAATGGTAATGTTTGGGAATAATGTAGTATAGTTACGAACGCCGCTGCTGCTGGTACTGATTTTGCCCGTGTCGCTGCATCTGGCGGCCTTGGTTCTGATGAGCTTGGTGGGCTGACAAAAAATGTTGATCAATAGTGACCAAGAATACCTCTAATATTACTTATGACTGCATTCGGGTTTTGGATCAGCTTCTCAACAGCCGAAGCGATGTGCTTGCCATACGTTACTTTACGAAGGTTAGGGAGGTCGAGCTAAGGATAATATTATTCGATCAACTCCAACGGTAAAAGTAGTCCTAATTACTTGTAGCATATTGACTAGATGTTCCCTGTTGGTCCCCTGGGATAATTCTAAGCATCTGTCAAGATGATCATCATTCCAAGGCTGCAATAGGTTCCACCGACTACTACCTCTGCACAACATAGTTGGCGAACTTGTCCACAGTCATTGAATGCAGCGGAGCATCGGGTCCAGCTGAGCCAATGACTGCTCCTATAATCTCATCTTGGTTTTGACGGCTACCACTCAGCAATGCCTAAAGATAAACTCCTCATAATCCGCGCGTGAGTTCCTTCATCCCGTGATTACTTTCTCCACCACATTACTGGCAAATTTGTGACAGCCATACTGTTCGATATTCGCCGCCACCGCCTTCACAACGGCATTCTTGAAATTATTAGGGCCATGCTCAACTACATGTTGCACGACATAGTTGCCGTACCTGGGAGCATGTTATCATTCATCTCCATTTCTCTACACTGATGCTTACTGATCCTGAGAGAGCATCCAGAGGTTCTCAACTACTTCCTGCATCAAAGGCTCCGACATTTCCTCGGGAAGTCGTTCGATCAAACGTTGGACCTACGTTACACTGCTGGTGGCCCTGAGGGGCAGATCTGATGACTTACCACACGGCAACCATAGCAGTGCAGCGACATGCGGGTAACGTTACCTCGGAATTCATCAACCTGAAAATAATTAAGATCATGCTGGGAGTGTCGGAGGAGGCAATATTACGATGAACCCCAAAGTCTGGGTAGGTAGAGTTTCGATACATTTTTGTATCACGTGGTTGCCGTTTTGGTCCTCAACGCAGTCGACAACATGTCCCTTCAATTCGTTGACTATCAAGACCTAAGAAAATCCATGGAACAACTACTATCTCGGGGAGGGGCATGTGTTCCCCAGCGAATGGCCGTGGGTTCGATCCCCAGTTCAAACATTCTCAATGACCCACCTGCTGCTCAGCGTTGACATTTTCCAACACCTTCTGGACAACCCGACAGCCGTACATGTGGAAAGACAGGCGAAGTATGTCCCCCAAGAGCTGCTCAGATAGAATAACCTAATCGCAATCACGGGTACTGTTGTTATGTTTTTGTCAATCTTGGGTGTTACAATGTGTTCCTCGGGCAAGTGATCAAAGAGCTTCTGAATGACATAGTTGCCGAAGGGATCAGTAGTCAGCTGCTGAGCACTGCTGAGAACGGCAAGAAATACATCATGGCGCTCCGATGGTGTCGCGGTCTCCAGAGCATTTTGTAAGAACCTATACAACAGCTCAGGCCCTAGGGGGTAGGACGATGGGATGATGGACGCACCTTGAGCCGTACTGGTCCATCGCCAGTTCAACTGCATCAGCAGCGACATCACCGAGTTTCATCCCAGGGGGGAGCTGTCCCCCACGGGCTCTCAGCTGTCCTAGTATATCTACAACAGCTCTATGTAGATGAACCTCAGGTGGATGCAATGATCTTACTCTGCGCACGCGTGCTGCCTACTTCCGAAGCTTGCATGCTATCACCACGGGACATACGAGAAGACCTCTGAGGCTTCGAAACAACAACTACCTCCCCTTACCACAGCAAAGAGAGCACCTACCTTAGACTGTTGACGAGGCCCTCGACGCTCCTGCTGCCCATCCCAGCTGCCTTGTCTGTACCTGCTACTACTCACTAGGCTACGAACCGCTCGAGCGGAGATCTACCCTCGTTGCCCGGCTTGCTGTTGTTGTTGTTGCTGCATGAACACCTGAGGAGCCCCAAGACCAGCAGTCGGCTGAGCAGTTTGTTGAGGAGGAGTGGTACCAGGGACGGGGACCTTATGGGAGAGAATATAACCATTTAGTGAATTATGGGACTTACCACGCGGACTTGCTGGTCTGGCCCGGGGACCTGAGGGGTAGTCTTAATCGGGGGATTCCATACTGCGCTGGAGGGCGCGGCAGTAGTAGCAGCAGCGGCTCCTCCTCCTTGTTGTTGTTGATACCCAGGCTGGGAGAAGTACCTCACGTAGGACGACATGACATACGATTGTCGAGTAACACTAGGATACATCCCAGTAGTGCCTAGGAGGCCTTGGTTGCCTTGAGTGGCCCCACCGTCCGACGCTTGAGCAGGAGGAGCCATGAACGGGAAGAACCTCGGCATTATGGGGGCTGGCTGCTGACCATCCTTAACTGCTTGAGCCTGGCCGAAGTTCACGTCGTAGGAGTAGCTAGGACTAGGGGTCTTAGGTATGAGCTCTCGCAGCCTGAAGAGTGCAGGGGTAGTGATAGGGGTGGTTGTTGTTGGCCTACTTCCTCTGCTGGACTGTATACTCCCCAGCTGGGCTCACATCCCAAGGCTCGGGGGCACTGTCGTTGTTGGTGGTCCCCTCCCCTCCTGGCCCGACCTGGCGAATACCTATTGAGGATGGTTATGATAATAATGAGAGAGGCAGTATACCAGGGACGACCAGTCTTGACTGCTCCTCGGGCCCAACAGCTGGAGGAAAGCCCGGAGGGGCTGCTGCTGCTGACTCGGTGAAGGCTTCGGGTTTTTGACTGTTGTTGTTGTTATTGTCAGTCATAGTGTAGTTGTTATGCGTACGATACGAGATGCCTTGTAAGTAGTACAGCGAGTGATGCTGGAGACCCTCGAGGGAGTAGTGGTAGCTATACTACAAATATAACTGAGAGGAAACATATCTTAGGTTACTCTTGGTATGATACGAAACAGGCCCGCTTCGATTCAACTCCGAAATTCTTGTAAACTTTGGGAGCCTCTATCCATCCAGCTGGGCTGCTGCCACTACTCGGTAACTCCATCTTCCTCATCGCGTATCAACTCCTTTGGAATTGCGCGCATGTGGGGAGGAGGAACAGATTAATAGGCGTTTAAAAATGACCTAATTGCATGTATTGCACGAAAAATGTCGAAGATTCGGAGCAGAGCCGTAGAGGAACGTGAGAAGGACTACTAGTGTGAGAAGGACGTAAAATACAAAATCCAAGGAAGAACGACAAAATCCAAGGAGATTTGTCGTTCGCTCTCAGCAGTTCGGGTTTCTGGTTGCCTTGTCGGGTTTCGGGTTTACCCTTTGACTCGTCTTCCTTGGATTTTGTCATTCTTCCTTGGATTTTGTATATCACACTGTGAGAAGGACATCAGCGATAATACAGTTGTTGTTGGTGACGTGAATGGTAGCATGTCCGTCCCTTGGCTCCTCGTACCAGCATGGCCGGCCAAGCATGCCCCTCCTGATATGATATTCGGGCCGGTAGCGTGGGAGGAGATGATGATTAGTATCGTGGAGATGACTGTGGTGGCATCAGTAGGAAGGGAGGCCCCTCAAGAACTATAATGATGTACATGCGTGTCAGCTACTCGGAGTAGTGGTGTTACGGTCGAGTATGTTGCCCGATGCATGGAAGAAGTCCCATGAGAAATCTCACAAGTATTCCCGCACGTCGGCAGAGCTACTTTTCGTGGTAGGCTTGGGGACATCCGAAAACCCCGTGATACGTTTCCGGAGGAACTCATTATGAATTTTCGACATGACCAGGGGCATGCCTTTCCATCAGTTTCCCATGTAAATGTCATCACATTGTGAACATTTTTCCCATTGCTATCAGCCCTGGGAATACGTTATCCTAGATCGGTCCCTGGGTAGAGCTTGCCGATCGATCAGGCTATTCACAACTCGATAGTCGTCCTACTATGTTTGATATCATATTTGTCATCAACTCGGGTAGGGCGGAACTGGTGGGCTCTGCATGCCTTTGCCTTTGAGATTGGGTATGAGATATTCGACACGGTGCACACCAACAGACGTAGGAGAGGGCCCCCGGTTGCTTCTGGGTAACCTTCCTAGAGACGGTGAAATTGGGACTATACGAATTCTAGTGGGATAGTGAATCGGACATTCCCTTCGAGTCGTAGCACGATGGGCAAGGCTTACAACTAGGCATTGGTTTCAGGTCTGTCCCCAGATGCTTTGATTCATCACATATGCTCACCAGTGGGTATAATAACATCAGCTTTCACCAAGGCCGATGTTAATCTGCTACTCCACTTGGCTGTGTGCATGGATGCATCGGGTGCGTGGTTGGCGATATGTAAACTGGTGTCGAGGCATTCGAAGAATGACTCGACTGGGGCTGTAACAAAGGGAGCTCTTCATTATAGGTGGATGCTCCTCGTGTAATACTCTGTCGGTCTGGTCACTAAATCGGCTGAGATTGGTCTTCGGCAGGTACCTACCTTGTAGAGTGCTCCTCCCTATGTACGACATAGTGTTCATCGTGTATCAGCTATGCTACCTAGAAAGTCCGTTTGGCACATGGACATTACCACCGGATTGGACTCGGCCCTATGTCTGGTCCATGGCTGTGCTCATGGCCTTCAACTGTTACTTCTGTTGGGTAGTAGTAGTAGCATGCGTTGGTTGGTGGTTGGTATTCGTCCGGTCAGATTATTGTTAAGAAGTCCTTCCCGAGTCGGTTCGCCAGAGTGACGAGTATCCGAGAGAGTGGTATTCATGAGGTTCCTCTGACAGACAGGTTAGTAAGCGGCTATGACCCTGTCGATGAGACGGAAGACTATACTATAATACAGCCCGTTATGGGAGGACGAGCAGTGTGATCATTTTTCGATTGACATTTCGAGAGAGTCGAGTTGTAGTTTTTGGGTGGCTCTGCTAACAGAAGCGGCAAATCCATTGATCCGACTCGTGCATTGTGAAGGTAACGCAGTCGCGTTTATCACTTGAGCAACGCCCCGGATGCCAACTGACTGAACCGAAGTTCAATCGAGTCAACTTTAGTAGTGGTTTGGTGGAGAATACAGTGCTTGATAATAGAGGTTCACTTTACTTGGTCTCTGCTTGCTTGCAAATGGAGTGTAACGTAAGAGATCAGCCCAGATGATCAACGTATGACAGCGAACTACTTCAACCTGCTGGGCACTCACAGACTCTGCTCGAATAATGGTTTAGCGATCGCCCCAAGGTATCTTTCCATGAACTGTAACCGTTTTGGATACTCTCGGACGTTATGTCGGAACGTACTTCTCTATTAGAGTTACTCATGTGCTACTAATGGTATAGTAGTCGGTGGGCTTTTGGCAACTGACTGGATTGGTGCATGCGTTATCGCCCGAGCCGTGTCAGGTAGTGCAAGATTCTCGCTACGGGAAAGATACGTTTGTTGTTCAGGTTCGATTGGATTGTGACACAATTTGTGTCGACCTTATCGGGATGTGAATGGTAGCATGTCCGTCCCTTGGCTCCTCGTACCAGCATGGCCGGCCAAACATGCCCCCCCTGATATGATATTTGGGCCGGTAGCATGGGAGGAGATGGTGATTAGTATCGTGGAGATGACTGTGGTGGAGGCGGTAAGAAGCGAATGTGTCAAGTTATGAGGGTATCTCTCATCTAGGTGCTTGGTTGGACACTGTTGAGATCAAGTTTCTTGCCCGCAGCATTGAGGAAACTGCCGGCGGAGTCGAGCAGATACTCGCGTCCTTCGGCAGACCTTATTCTGCTGGTGGGCTCGCTCTTGGGTATTCATTCGTTCCCTGCTGGAATCGAGCTTGGTCAGGCCCTTCACAGCTCGGTCGTCCTTGTACTCTGCCTAGTATCCTATCAGTCGTCAACACGTGAATGGAGGGACTGGTGGGCGGTTCAGGCTTTCTCGTTGGAGATAGGCTATGAGATATTCGACACGATCCATACCAACAAACGTAATGCGAAGACTTTCGCTCACTTGTCTCTCAAGCGTCTTGCTATTCGGTGCCCTGAGGTTGCTTCTGATGTGTCAGGTGTATCACCCTATGCCTTTATCCATCACATATGTTCGATCTTGGCAATCACGATGTCGGCATTCGCCATGTCAGACTACAACTTGGTACTCCACTTGGCGGTCTGCATGGAGTTCTCGGGCCTGTGGCTGGCTGCCTGCAAATTGGTATCGAGGCATTCGATCGCTGGTTTGTTCGGAAAGTCCAGTAAAGGAGGTGTGGATTCCAGATGGATGCTCGCCGTGTAATAAGATTCACCAGCGCCTGCTGCTATTTTCTAGGGCGGATATTGAGTTTGTAGCTTGCAAATCTTGTCAGTTCGGAGGTTGACCATATTATTTAGGGAACAGAGGACTTCTAATATCTCATTCTTTCATCCTATTGCTTTTGAATGGTTGTGGACGTGTATCAGACTGGCTCATTTTGATTAGTTCACGGTAGGTATCTCCCATGCCGAGTGCTTTTCCCTCTCTACGATGTCAGTCTAATAATTGTGCATTTGTGCTGTCTCGAGAGCCCTTCGGGGTCGTGGTCGTTGCCACCCCAATGGGCGAGGCCTTATGTTTGCTGCTATGCTGCTCTTTTCGCCTTCTATTGTTACTTCTGCTGGGTAATACTCTTCATCTCATCGACTGGTGGTGGAGTAATTCCTTTCAGGTGCTTGTGAAGAAGTCTCTTCCTGGACATTTTCGTCCTAGAGCACGCGAGCTCAGGACTATAGTAAGCGCTGAATATTAAGCATTGACTGCCTCCTTTGTGAAGTCTCCGCTCGGTGCAGGCTAGTCAACTATGGCGGATAATCATCTCTGTGGAACGGGTTTCGGTGTTTTGACCAGAGTAATTGGGTTGTAGTCGCTGATTAGTATGTCGGCCCCCGAAGAATTCGGGAAAGTTATCAAATGTCATGAACGACGAGTTCTGGTGGCGCATGCGGTCGTCTGGGATTCAACTATTTGTTCGTAGTCACTGTTCATGCTAAATCATACTATTTTCCAACCCACCCTGGAGGTGGCTGCATCTCGGACGTCTAATGCAGCTGCAGCGACACCAGCGTTGAGGTCTCCTATTGTATCGGGACTACAGCAAGCTACTGGACCGTACTGTGTTATATCTAAACCTTGCGTGTTAGAGTTGATAGCGCAAGAAGCGCAGGTGGTGACACGAAAGGCACATTGCGTATCGCTGATATGGTTGATCACAATGGGTGGAAATGTTTAGATTATTCGTACTGCGCGATTAGACCATGTTAGGAAGTTCGAGTGAAAATTTCTCGGTAGTGGTCGCTGCTTTAACGGCAGTCATCACTAATGATGTCATCAGAGTGACGAAGTCGTCTCATTTCTCTAGACGAGCATGTCTCTTGTTCAGGTACCTCTGCCCAGGTATACGTTGGAGAGTCTGCTAGCACTGGAGCATCTCAGCAAACATGAGAGAACAGCTCATCTGCTGCATAATTTGAAACGAGGTCGTCGTCTTTACTTGGGATAACTCGATGAAGTTGATGTTCGTAGGTGTGGCTATATGTGGTTACGAGCTACAATGCTATCCGTTTGGGTTTGGCTGCCAGCCGTCGGTTAAACACGTTGTTGATAATTACCTACAAGATTTTTACGATATAAGCAAGTGAGGTTGACTAGGGTCAAATGCCACGTGATTACCTTCTGCCTCAGACTACAAGCAGAGATGGGTGATAACATTGTATGGAGCCCGGAAGTGAAGACTGTGATGGATGGCATTTTTACAAGGCATAAAGGTGAATTTCGGGGATTGGGGTATAGTAGGTCTTCGTAACGAAGGGGTGGAGCTCACTCGGTCCGCGTTTGTTGATTCAATCAGTATCCTTGGCATATGTCCCCGGTTCGATCCCTGGGTTGGACATTTTCCATCAAAAAATGTCTTCGTGCATATCTCTTTGAGCTGTTCGAGAAACCGAGTTTTTCGATTTTTGCGCGAACCTCGGCATATAGAGGAGTCGTTTGATCTACCTGGTGGCTTCCTGCGCTTCGTAGTTAGGTCAGAATAATTCTGCACGCGCGCACGCACAACGCGAAAGTGCCGTTGTTGCGGTATATGTTTAAGTGGTACACTTGATCGTTTTGGAGCGCGTCGTGTCGTAAACAACAGGCTTTTCGCGTATCAACTCCGTCATTAGGCATCGAAGTTGTATTAGAAATTCCCATTTTCGTCGACCACAGTAGAGAATTTTCACTTCAATTTTCATATGGAATCTTTGATAACAATACGGGTAAGCTATTGACAATATGACACCAGACTGAGAGCTATGAGATTCCCAACGTCCTATCGGTGGTATCCTCCCACTGTACCGTCCTCACAAGCCTCGTATCAAACGAGCGTCGTATGGGAGGCATTGGCCATGGACACGGTCACGTCCATGATCAGGAGGGTTGATATCGAAAACCATGTGACACTATGCGATTTCTCCACGCATCTCCTTGGGGCTAGATGAAATGAGAATTACTCCGATTTCTATATTGTTTGTTACTGTAAACATCATCGCTATCGTCGTCGTTTTATTAGGTACTATGATCGATATCGCTAGGGGAGTTCTTGAATTCCAAGAGAGCGTTCGATCACAGGTAAGTATCGTCATTATCTCATCGCAACATTTACGTTAGTACGATGCCCGGTGCACACTCCTTCATACGCGAGAAGCCGTACCTGCTATCACTCACATAGAACGTAGATTAGACGACTTTTTCTCCACTAGAATTTCCTGCAGGTGAGCATGGGGGTAGCTCGGGTGTGGAAAGTGTTACGTAGATTGATGATATCTCACATACTGGCCTTAAACGAGATTAACGAGAAAGACCTAGCTGGAGAGAGGTGGCCGTCACCACATAGGAGCAGTAGTGATGAGAATATGCATATGCTGAACGAAAAGCCACGTATGGTTGGTAGGACAAAAGCGTGGACAAGATCGTTGCACGCATGCACATTCATTTAGGTTCTGTTACAACGAACACTATGCCGGTACTCGTGCTCCAGCAGGCCTACGAGGCTGCTAAATATATGTGTCGTAGAGACTATAATGGCTTAGCGCCAGGTACTCCCACTACTGTCTCCTCCTGAGATGAGCGCCTTCGTGACAGATTTAGTAGTGAATGGTATGTCACTGGAGGAGTACCTCACAGTGGCCCCACCACAACGCAGTTTCGCCTACGTCGTGCAACATCTTTTTTATATATTCCTCGAGATTCTTAAAGTAAGCTGATCGTCGTCCTCGTCGTCGTGATGCATCTACGATTGTGTTTCAGAATGCCATGAGAGCATCAGTTGAAAAGGCTTTGTTCGATAGTGGCGGAGACTATCAGCGATGTAAAGATGTTGGGTAAGCGCGCGTCTGTGACACATTCGGTGGAGTGTTGTTTTCTCTGCAGGTTGCCTCCTGTAACGGTAACCTTGCCTGATCTCTCTTCCATGTGGGACTTCGAGAGGACCATCAAAATAGCTGACCAGGGCTACGGTATGAAAAGAGAAATTTTGAAAAGGGTGAGTTAATGCGGAAGTGAATCGTTGGTGATGACAAATTTCAGGCGAGCTCATACTTCTACTCTTCGGCCACCCAGAAGCCCGACGGTACTCGGGAGCTTCCCGATTTTGACTCTCGAGCTCCGCTTGCCGGCTTCGGTTTCGGTCTCCCGATATCAAAAGTGATGGCCAGGTGGGTTCATCCTGTGTTTATCCAACTCGATGGCTTTTCCTAGATATTTCGAGGGCGATCTCGAAGTAAATAGTATACCAGGAGCAGGTAACTGTTGCGATGCCGTTGTACACACGATAGACCCTTACATGGCACAGGTACAGACGTTTATATTTATCTGTAACTTACTCTAGGGAAGATGGGACATTTTAAGCTTCGCCGACTTCAAGTGAATAGCAGCCCATGGTCCTCATTCAATGTGAATAGTTGCAATTCCTTCATGTGCTTGACAGTCCTCCGTTGAAGCCTCCTGGAGTTTTTGCTTGTGGAGAAAACCCGTCCTCGGCTCCTGTGATTCTTCGGTACAATATTACTAGACTGTTTCTGAAGGTTTTCGTCGTTTGGTTGTAGTAGTCTGGTACAAACGAGTAACAACCTGATGAAGCTTCCACACCCCTGTACCATTGCTCCTCCCGTTCCTCTGCGGGTTCGGTTTATTTGTTTGACTGGTTAAGGCTGTTGATGAACGTTTCACTCGTGGCTCGTACTATCCACCAAGTCAGACGTGTATAATTATGTTTCCACAAAAAACACCGCTTCCAGGATCGAGTTTTACATATGAAATCAAATCCTGGAAGCGCTCTTGAAGCTCAGGAGAGGTCTGTTGTTTCCCAATCCCAGTCGTCAAAGGGGTCGTCATGTCGGATAACACAACCAGGTAAGTGGCGAAGTAGGGATAGATAATCTTAATCATCCTCAATCCTACACATTTGGGCTCAGCGGGGGCCAGCCGTTTCATGCAGAGTCGGTTCATTAACAGAAGACGAAGCGAGAGGACTGTGGCGGGCGCCATTGGTGATTACGATACACATCTACCAGTGCCACAGGTCTATTGAAAACGCCGTATGACTTTTGAGACCATCTCAATGAGATGGTGTAGCCAGGAATTGAACCCGGGTCATTCGGACTGCTGTGCGCTGTCCTAACACCTTTACCTTGACACTGTTGAGTTACTCGAAAGATGATGAAATACTGTAGTGTAATCATATAGAAACGCAGTGAAGCGTGACGTCACTTCGAAACCTCCACTATTTCGAGTGTGAGAACTTCCACGTAGTCTGTAACATAGATTTCAATCGAACACTGAAGCTAGTGATGATTTAATCGAGGCTCCGAGATTGGCATCTGTGGGCAACTCTGGGATCGAATCTCATTGGGTTGATCGTTAGTCAGGTAGCCTCTGGGCATCAAATCCTTGCCCTACAGGGTAGGACAGTAACTGACCCACACATGCATTTGGATTGTGGAAGTCTCCTATGTGGGAACACAAGGTCTTGATGGCTAAATGGCGTGATAGTCCATGGCTCTTGGGAGAATCGATAAGCGTAAATTTTCTATCCAATAAAATGCAGTTTTCTGTTCTGGAAAGGATCCACCATTTTGGGATACCCTCTTCAACCTATTGTTATCAACAGTGTTTGTTTTGATGGTAGAAAGAGCTCGATCTTCCATCTCATCAGCAGCTTCAACGGCCCTGGCCTTGCCACGGCTTGGTGATGATGATGCTAACAAGACGAGTAAGACTCTCACTACTGAGGATTTCCTCACCAACTTGGACACCTCCTGCGCTCAGTTGCACAGCCAACCGGTAGTAGTACTTGGGGTGGGGGAAATGACTCAGTTCAGCTGTATACATTGAAGTTTCACCCGTTTGACGTGATACTCCGCGAAAAACGCGATATTCGCGATATGCAGTAGTCGTGAAATATATTTTCTCATTAGTGTTTTATGTGATCGGTGAAACTCCACTGAATAAAAGCATTTCGAGGAAGCGTTCCATCATAAACTAACTCGCGGCTATGGCAATAGACAAGAATGCCATGTTATCTGTGTAACTCATGACGACTCAGTTCAGTCCAGTGTGAGGAAATATGCACGTGGTCAAGTCGCCAACAATATGAAAATTTTCCGGAAATTCCGGGAAATTTTTATTAGTTTCTGTACACTTCTACCCTAACTCGTATGAAAACTCGAAGCTCAGCTGAGGAAAGCGAACATATATTTTTCCAAGAGCCTAGTCCATGTGAAAGACCTTGGATATGTTGATGGGCAGGATGCTATGATGGCCCTATTGGCGATACTCAAGGAGGAGGGCACCTCAGCACAGCGGAAACTGGTCTTGAAGAACAGTGAAGCTTTGAATGTACTGTTAGCCGTTGGCTTTGACATGGCAACCATGGTAGTAGTAGTAGTAGTAGTAGTAGTAGTAGTAGTAGTAGTAGTAGTAGTAGTAGTAGTAGTAGTAGTAGTAGTAGTAGTAGTAATAGTAGCAGTAATGATAGTAGGAGTCTTTGTACATTGTATCTTAGAAAGTGCACCCTGGCAGTGAAGTACGTGCGGAAGTGGCTCGTGATATGCTCAACGTCCAACTCGAACACGTTGCGGCTGAGAGTAATCCTGCTCAGATTGAGACACTACTGGTGCTACTATCAGGGGGTTTGAAATTGGAAACATTGGCTCGTTGATTCGATGCGTGTTTGTACCACTGAGAGTCTGTGAGAGGCTATGACTCTTTGTTGGCTACTACATGTTGACCCTAGGGGGCTTTCGAGCCCTGCAATCGGTCATTGTGATGCTCTATTCGTCATCAAGACCTTTTCAATGTCTGTTGGCGAGAGGCGTGAGCTCTGATCGAGAGATTCTCTCGATCGGACCTGATCTGTATCTTTCGTGATCGACCTCATGGGTGGGCGAATGTTGGTACTCAGGCTATTGGCGATGAAGCACCGGCGATGTCCGCTGAACCTGATGGAGCGCCAGAGGATACTAAGGTGATGCGTGTGATGACAGTGAGGCATTAGGAGTCAGTGGCTCGAGGGCAGGTCTCATCAGAGGACACTCCGTCTGGTGATGTGCAGTGGCCGGACACAGGTCAGGACTGGGAAGTAGTTGATAGTCAGGGCTCAGCCCCCCGACGACGGCTACAACAAGGGACAGCAACAGCATGTGAAGCCACAGTGGAGGGCTCGGGGGGAGAGCCCGATCTCCTCACGGGGGGCACTGACAGTGTTGAGGGGCCCTCGGAGGAAGAGGGGCCTCCGGCTGGTGTTGGGCTGATGCAGGTCGTTTGTCCAGAGGGCTATGGAGAAGGTACGATGGCGGTGATGCTGTTGGCTTTTACTGGCCTGTTGCAGGAGCATCCCTACAAGCACAGACCCCTGATGGTCAGACTGTGCGGACGTCGGTACCCGAGGGGGTCCATCCTGGTGATGCCTTCATAGTGAGGTGGGTCGGCATGGTACAGGGGTTAGAGCCCCACTGGTGATGCCAGGTACACCCTTAGGCCGGTAGGTCTTATGGGCTCGCAAGATGAGGAGAAGAACGATGAAGCTCTGGCAAAGGTAGTGGCGCTTCGCTGAGCATCGGTTAGGACGGACCCCTCAGGCGCTACAGCAATCGTTCGACGAGGCTGAGGTTGGTTCTACAGAAGAGTTATCGAAGGCCCCACCCACCTCCACGCGGTACCTCAGCACTGTTGATATTGAAAGCATGGGAGTGTAGGGTGCTGGCATAGGGCATTGTGAGAGGCCCTCTTGGGCAGGTACTTCGAATGCCAGGGGAATGGCACGGCTACTTGTGCAATACATGCCATCAACAACCTGGCTCAGAAGAATGCCGTCTCGGTAGGTGGGGGGATTCTGATGAGTAATGAGGCCCTCCTTGCATCAGCTCACGCATCTCCAAGCGGCCGAGTCGCGAGTGGCTCTACTCCAGCGGGGCGGCAGCTTTCTGGCGCCGTCGGGTAGTAGGTCGTGTAGGAAGCCCAGAGGCATGTGGCTGTCCATCAGGCATTTCCGTGCCTTCAGCCAAGGGTGGTGACGGTGCTCGTACCGGCTGGTTCGACATTGAAGCGCTGAAGTTGGCATCAGAAAAGCACGCGGGGTAGGGCGAAGGTCTCTTCTGGGTATGCTAGGTCTGCTGTAGGCACATGGTTATCGAGACAGAACCGATACCGGACTTTGCTCGCTCCGCTGGTCAGAAGTTCGTCACGGCAGCCAACGAGGAGAGCGATGGTAGTTGGTTTCGAGGCTTCCTGGTGTACGAGTGTATCCCTGGCCGGGCGATGCACTACTGGTCTCTCCTACGTCTACCAGCCGGCGGGGGTTGGCTCAAACTGGACTCGCTCCATCGCGACTCGTAAGGTCTTGTTGTTATTGCCAATAGCCAGTGCCCCCGTTTTAGTGACAAGAGCCTTGGGCATCGATGTGAGTTCATTGCGACTGATGAGGAACTAGCTGAGCTGTATAATAGCAACAAGGACTACTTCAAGAGCTGGCTCATGCGATGGTGAGAAGATGTTGGTGAGGCTTTGGAGTAGAGCTGTGAGGTGGTAGGTACCCAGTGGTGGATAAGGTGAAGGCCCGAGAGGGCCTGAAGGGCTTATTGACGGAGGGTGATGTCTCTGAAGAGGACTTCCCGAGGGGTAAGCATTGTTAGGATAGCTGCTGTAATCGTGTTCTACTACTCAGAGGCTACTCTGGATGCTGTTCTTCGTGATAATCATTGGATACCATCGGCGGCCGCTCACACCCTTCTGGTGGACTCCGTCGAACAGGTGACCGATGGGGCTGCTGGGCGTGGTTCGTAGGCTGATCCAGGTCGCTCATATGTCCCAAGCACTGTGTTTGGTGGTAACGTCTTCAGTGGCAGTCAAAGTACTCAGAACCACTGGTTGGGATTGGGACCGAGCTGTGAGTCGCTTCGCTCCGCCTTTTCCCAGCAACATTTATTCATTTTTAGGTCGCTCAGCTGAATGGTGTATTGGAAGAGCGGCGGCCAGATGGTACGATGGACCAGGCTGAGCTCAAACAGCTGGCGCAGAGGTGCCTGGCCACATCCAAGTGGGATGTTCATACAGCCTCGATAGTCATGCACATTGTGAACAGCGTAAGGGAGAGTGCCTCCTCTGGTGGGCTCGATGGCTCTGTCCCTCAGTACGCTTGCGCCGCCGCTGGTGCTGCTGCTGACGATGACCTCCAACTCATCGTTGGTTGTGTGAATTCATGTGAAAGAGACCTCGAAAAGTCGCAGTTGGCGTATAAGCTGCTACGAGTTTGTAGCGGCCTGCAAGAAAGGTAGATGAAGGAGTATCGTGAGGTTGTCAATAGTCTCCTGTAGTTGTGCTGATCCGCCTGGTGATGCTGCCGCAGTGTTGAGTACTGTGGATTGGGATGTAGACAAGGCTTGTGTTGTGATACAAGTAAGTCTAGTCTCAGTGGCCTCATGCTATTCATCAACGGCAGGTTCATAAGAATCTCAATGGAGACCCTCCATATGCCGTTTGCGCGGAGGCTAGCAGACGAGAGGATTTCGGTGCCATACCGGCCACAGAGCTCCTGAAGGAGGTGCGTACTGCTAGAACTCGATAGTCTATGCCCCATAGCACTTCAGTTTCGACGTCGGCTGCAGACAGTAGCCTCACAGTCAGCGGAGGAGGCCCTAAAGCAAGCCAAGGGTGGTTTCATGGACCAGCTGTTGGGAGGCGGCCCTCAAGGGGAGGTGAAGGGCGGTCTTGGAGCCCCATAGGTCTGATGGAAATATCAGGTCCGGGACTTAACAGATGAGGAGTGTGCTGCTATCGCTGACTGGGCGTTACGACAGGGTCAATGGCAACCACATGAGTCCTTCCAGTTGGCTGAGAGAATGGCCAATAGAGTGGTGAAAGTCAGGTAGGTGAGGGAAGGTAGTTGCAGTTGGAGATGAACCTCCTTCAGATGTGAGCTGAGTGATATCATGGAGCCTGCTGCTGATGTGGTCATCAACTCACTTGATCATCACCAGATGGATGTGGCTGATGTCTGTGCTGACTTGAGGAAACAGCGTCGGAAACTGTACAGTTCTTCGTTCAAATCGACTTCCTCCCCCACGGAAGTCCAGCCAGCCGAGGGTTCCTCTTCTATGGTGACGCGAGAAGGAGAGAATATCCCTAAAGATTCCCAGGAGGCCGATTTTAATAGTGATTGTTCGTTAATGTAGTCAATTGTCATCATACATCGCAAACACCAGTTAATTCAACAGCAGCGGCCGTGTCTTAAGAGGCCTTCTTATTCTGTATGCTAACTCTACAGTGTACTCTTATCAGAAACTTCATTCCTATTGTTATTCGCACACTTACACAGTTTATTGAGGTCTGGGAGTGCTTGTGTTCAGTAGTAGTTTTTGGACGTCGAAATGTTGACACTATCTAGTGGACGGTAAGGGTCAGCTGTCGATCATTGATGACTATGATGATGTGTAGGAGGGTCCAAAAGCATGATGAGTTCTTTTGTGAGTGGGATAGCCTACTGTAGGAGTACTTATAGCCTACCGCATAATTGTTCCGCTGGAGATACTATTATGGAGCTAGGGCACATTCCACAGCTGTTATGCCGCATAACTTATGCATGTAGGTCCGATGCACGACATTCATACGAGTAATCGATAGTACCTGACTCGCACTCACTGTTGTCCATGATGCAATGACGACCCTCAGAATGGTAACAGATATAGACCGCTTCTGTGAATGATAACTGGGAGATACTGAGTTAGTCTGATGGGTGTTATGAAAAAACGGTGCTGTGCTGTGTGGAGTTGAGTCAAGGCATAACGCATGGTGCGACTGAAGACGTGATGGGAAGAAGGATGCTCTATAGTGTATCGGTTAGTAGATTAGATACTCTATGAACGAAATACCTCTTTGTATGCATGCATCGGAACAACATGAATAGACAACGAATAACACATCATCTGAGATCCATGACCTGAAATTTCAATCAGTGAAAACTGTGCTATTGGAATATCGTGCAAAACTCTGAGTCACGTTATAGCATGCGAATAGTCAACAGCTCGCATCAGTCTTCATCTAGTTCTCAGTATAGGAAGGAGGGCGACTTCGAGAGCAGGCCCCAGTCGAATCTTCATAACTAGGGGGAGGTCCTCGCGCTCCTTCTCTCAACGCTTGCTCGTAGGTTGGTAGCCCTCTAAGATAAAAACCGATGCAGAATTTACGAAGTATAGGATTTTTACTCTTCCAGTAGACGGGCCGCGCTGGCACTTGACGACGTCGATGGGTATCTGAAAGATATTTTTCATGTCGTAAATATTAGCCCGACTCGCCATGGTTCACCCCCTCAAGCCCGCTTGATCTCGTCGATATAGGATGAACACTCTTTTATTGAAACGGATTAGTATACCATATTGACGCATCTGTGCCGGGAAGGCAAAAAGAAAGGCTTCGGCTATAAAACAGACGTTCTGATATGGAGCTTCAAGAGCTCTTATCTTTCCCGCGTGACGATGGCTATCTTTAAAATGGACCGTCTTTCGTCTATCACGAACAGTCGCCGACATTAACGTGGCATCCATATCTCGTCCACTGCGAGCTTGTCGACTCACTGTACTTCGTATGACGAACGGACCATCAGCGGTAAATTCAAAGCTGTCTTGGTCTGCGTAATCTCGAAAGAGTTCATTCATGTACACGGGGGTCAGCCGAATGAACTTTCTAGGACGGGCGTTCATCGTGAAGTTCACGTCGTAGTATTCCTCGTCGCTTTCTGAGACCTTAGCATAATGAATGGCATCGTCCGCATCCCAAGGCAGGGCTATGGATCTTGGTAGAGACCATACTCCTTTCTGACGACTGTGCTCAGAGCGGATCCTCCATGTTCTGCTCGTATGAACCGGTTCGGTGAAGTGGTTCGTTCTCTCGTGTGCTGTGTGGGTAGAAATAGTGACCAGACCCTTGTTGTTTTTGATACGAAGACAGACTGCCTGCAGATACTCGTAGAAATGACAGTAGTATTTTGATTTCGAGCTCAGACTACTGAAGAAGGCGGCGATGGCGACCATGGGAGATGAAGAACTTCAAACTGGAACGATGACCATCCAGTTGGAGTCATAGGTTGCCGATTGAGAAACTCAGTGTCTCTCACCACCTTCCAGAACAGCACTTACCCGTTGGGAAGAATGAGATCGTAACAACGTAGTACAGACCTGTTGTGACCACCAAGGGAGAGCTTCTGTCACCATCATAGGTTGTCGAGGGTACTACCACTATGATAGGGCATCCTATGATACCCTTCTGCCCTTACCCTGGATTGTGCGTTGTGATCATGTGAGGAATCGGCAAGGCGCTCAACACCAAGATCGATGCACTATCGTCGAGGTCGATGATCCCCCGGATTCACTTTACTCTATCCGGCCGGCTTAGAACTAATGAAAATCCGTCTGTACTTTTCAACTACTGGAGTATATCTTGCCGTTACTGAGCAGATCATTAGTGGGCGAGCGATAATCAGAACTACTCACAGCGACGACCCGGGAGAGTGTATCCCGCATTCAGGCCCGGCAGCAGCAGCAGTAGCCAGATAGGCGCTTCATCGTTGTAAGGTAGGCAGTGTGTTGAGAGTTGCATGCCATCGCTGATGGTATAGCATCGGGCTCGGGATGGTCTCTTTCAGCCGAGGACCATGGAGGTTGTACATCACGATGAGGGTAATAGTAGCAATGACAGTGACATACTCAGTATGATCTCTTTGGGCATAGGGAGATTGAGAAATCGAGAGGAGATCTCGAATTACGTGTCCATCCTCTACTAATTCACGTCGTCTCGCAGCGAGACTCTCGAAAGGTTCTAATGGTTCGGATTCATCGTCAGCGATGGACTCGTTCTCATCATCAGCAGCCACGAACGGCTGGATAGGAGGGCGACACTGTCATTCTACCATGCTTAAGTAAAATCCCTAGTAGTAATACCTCCCCGGGAACAGGTAGTGATAATGACCAGAGCATGACTGTTGATAACGGCTTCCATATTCCCCTTGTGCCCTTAATGTTGGGTTGGATTTGTGATACTCTCCACTGCAGTATTGAAGGGCTCTTTGTTTTGCCTCATCATGATCGGAGGAGCCTCATTGGCCTTCTATTTTCATATTAATCGTTACGACTACGATCGACATCTGCAGGTGGGAATCAGGCTTATCTTGGGAAGGTGCTGGTTTTGAATTCTTCACATGGCTAGGAAGTTTCCATGCGACTAGGGACACATTCTTCAATCAGTTTCCTATGTCGATGTCATCACATTAGGAACATTTTCCTTATTGTTATCAAATCATGGGTCCTTATCGGGTGGGGAAGGTCATTATCATTGTTGCTGAGGATTTCTGTGATGTCAGCACGAGTCGATACCGGTACTACGAGAAGAGTGGCGGCGGCGGAACATGAATTGTTATAATGTGGGCGAAAGATGGTATGAAAGTTAGCAGATCTCTGCCCTTCAGAAGTACACTGCAGACCCTAGTAACGAGCTCCTCGAGGAGATTCAACGCAACCTGGACATCACAGTTCAGTAGGGGACCGTGTCCTTGGGGGTTGCGGATGTTGTGGGGTGTAGACGGTGTAAACGGCAGTTGAAGACCGATAGTCGGGAGCAGGACGTGAAGGACTGTCATGCGGCGATCGAACAGGTTATAGGCTCCGTGGTCTCAGAGGGTCTTGCCGTTCGCACTCGGTGAATATCTCCTGTATTGGTATCGTGAACGCTAGTGTCGAAATCATCGTGGATCCTCCTCGTGGAAGTGCTTGTTAACACTAGTGGGGTCGGCTCGGTTTGTTTTTGACGATGGAATAGAAGACCTAGTGTTGTGTTTTTACTAGACCTACAGTCAGTGTATGGAGGCGGCGGAGTTGGCGGAGGATCCGATGAATAAGAGTGAAGTGAGGCAGTACCCCATCCACACGGTGCGGCTTGGGATGGTGATGGGCAGTAGAGGGGATATCGGAGGACTTCAGGTTGAGTTTGGCGATGATGATACATATACTCGGAAGAAAAGTCCAGGAACGAGTATCTTCCCGTTTATTTGCAGTGCGGCCCGAGATTGATATCATGGTGTTTGTGAGGCGGAGGTTTCCTGTTCTTTTCATGGTTGTTGGGCGAGTGATGGAAGTGGGGGTTGGTTGTTAGCGTTGGTATAGTGTAGTGGGTAAGGTACTCGTTCTTCATTATGTAGGTCGCTGGTTCAATCCCTGCCGCCGGCTTTTTGATGTTTTCTCTGCGTTTTCGATAACTCTTGTGGCCTGGAGGGAGTCTGAAAGTTGAGTAATTGTTAGCTATCAGGATTGCAAAGTTCTGGCATCTCCCATCTCGAACGACAAGAAGGATGTTCAGCAAGAAATCCGAAGGTCGACATCGATCGCTCTCGATCAGCGCAACGGGCAGTGGGTGGCGACTTGGCGGAGGAGGGATATCCCGCTGGTCTCTCAGTGTTCCGATTCTTGGCTGGTATTTTCTCGTTGAAACATCATTCACAACAACGGCGGGACTCGATGGGGAGGCGAGGTAGATGGGCTGGGGTGGAAGGCCGTGGTCGTGTGTCCGGAGTTGAATAACTTTTATCTATGTCTGCGGTTGTTGAGATGAGGCAGAATATGTTCAATTCTGGCTCGCTCCTGTTGAGACCATCTTGGCTGAAGACCACACCAGTTTCGATAGATTCCGCGCTTTCGCTTGACATCCGCGCTTAATGGTTTCTGGGGCCGGCAGCTTTGGAAACAATGCTTGTTGATCGTGTTTCACCGAGTTCTACCAACTGGTCATCGAGATTGTCAACTGTCTACATTGGGTTGAAAACGCCACACTAGAAGTGACCATGCTGTAGATGCTGCCTTATGGGATCTGTTGAGAACACACCCAAAGGTTGAATGTGTTCTCATCAAATTATGGGAATTTCTCGTAGAGTTATCAGAGCCGGCAGTTGTAGTTAATGATGCTGTGAATCTCTGGTACACGCGTACTATCTGCCGTTCACACTGTGTAGCACGCCTTGTATTTACACTATATTGGAGGAAACGCGTGGCTTCTGTGCAGATACCGATGCTTCTTCCACCGACTACCATGCTAGAGAGAGTAGCAGTGTTGAACGTGTAGGTTAGTGGATTTCGACTCGTTTTACGTGAAGTGGCGTCGTAATACTCGGTGAAAAACGGGATATTCGTGGTGATATGTTTTTCGATAGTGTTTCTCATATCACTGGGGTGAAACTCCATTGTTTTCAGAAGGAGTATATGAATCGAGTTGCTCAACAGCGTGCACTGGTCTCTCTGAAGCCGCAGTACTGCCTCGATGACTTCGACTTGGGGGATATTGTGGGGACTGGTGACAGCTTCATAGTGATGCGCATTTACGACGGGCTGTGGTACAGGTCGTTTTGGTCGAGTTCGGATCGTGAAAATAAAGGGTGCCGAAGATCGAACGCCTTTCGCGTTGAAGATTCTTTACAAGTTGGAAGTTATACGCTTAAAACAAGTGGGTGTTGCTGGTTTGTGACAGGAGTTGCTGTTTCAACGTAGGTTGGACATGTGCGGGCGGAAAGGGAAATTCTGCAGAGACTCAGTCATCCGTTTATTGTCAATCTGTGGGCACTGCCTTACGGTGGCGCGCGCGAGAATTTTTCAGCTTCACCACATTTCGTGATGAAATAAGATTGTTTATGCTGATGGAGTACGTGAATGGTGGCGAGCTGTTCTCGCTAATTCGGAAAGGCGAACGTTTACTCAATGAGGATGCTAGATTCTATGCAGCTGAGATAGTGCTGGCCTTCGAATACTTGCACAGTGGGTTTGGCGACAAGGGCGAGGTTGTACTGCGTTGATTATTGGATATGAAAAATAGTAGTGAAAAATATATTTTACGACTACCGCATGTCGCGAATATCGCGTTTTTACAGAGTATTACGCCACTTCACGTGAAACGGGTGAAACTCCATTATATATGAACTTGAATTCACCAGCTAATTTTGATATGTATATGTGCTTGAGGTCGTTTTTACTGTTGTCCAAGCAGTGTGTTGGGATGGATCACGTTTCAGGTTTGAACATAGTATACCGCGATTTGAAACCTGAGAATCTTCTTATAGACTTTGAAGGTAAGAAATTGTGAACTCATCGAGATCATCATTATCAGGACATATCAAAATTGCCGATCTTGGTTTCGCGAAAGTGGTTACTGATCGAACGTGGACTCTGTGCGGTACACCGGAGTATATGGCACCGGAGACCATTCAGTATCAAGGTATTGCTGCTGTTGTTGTTGATTCCGGCTCATTGATTCGCGATCGGTTGTATTAGCGCACACCGCACTCAGTGGGAGAATATATGTTTGGTTTCCTCAACTGAGCTCGAGTAAATTTTCTCACTATACTATGAAACATTCACACGAGTTTGGGTAGAAGTGTATCAAAAATCAACGATAATTTCTCAGAATTTCCATATTCCTAGCGACACGTGTAGCTGACCATGTGCATATATTCCCACACTGACCGCACTACGAAGATTCTTTCATCAGTGCTGTTATCCTAGTGATAACACTATACCAGTAGTACTGTAGTTGACACACTGTGTAGCACAGAAATGCACCTATACTGATACGGTGTTAGTGATATGAAAAACATTAGCAAAAATATATGACTCACGACTACTGCGTATCGTGAATGTCGCGTTTTTCACAGAGAACTACGCCGCTTCACGTAAAACGGGTGAAACTCCAATATTCATCTTAGCATTAATAGTACTGGTGCTCGATAGCAGTAGCGAATGTAATGCAAATCAATAATGTGCTTATAATACCAATAATACTTTCAATGATAACATTAATATTGCTAGTGTGATACACAATGGTATCATCGTTGTTATCGCTTTTGAGGGTTTGATTCGTCATCGGTTGTATTAGCGCACATCGCACTGTGAAGATTCTCTCGACAGGGCATGGTAAAGCTGTGGATTGGTGGGCATTGGGAGTTCTCATTTTTGAGATGATTGCTGGGTATGTGCCTTTTAATGATAGAAATCCACTTGGAATATACCGAAAGGTAGGTCGTGGGATTCGAACCTGGGTGGATTGCGGTGATTCTCTCTCATCAGGTTTTAATAGGTCGATTAGAGTTCCCCAGGCATTTCGATAGCAAAGCTAAAGACTTGGTGAAACACCTGCTAGTCCGGGATAGACGCAAGAGATATGGTTGCCTGAGGGACGGGGTTGAGGACATCAAAAACCATAAATGGTAAGTATGGTTCGGGTGGGACTATTGGCCGATCGTGTAGACGTGGGAAATTACGGCTATCGACGGTTTCTGAAGCCGTTTTGTATCGTTTTACGGTATAGTAAAACTTCTACGGTTATTCTGTTTCCATGCGATTAAGCTGACGTTCAGCCACTAAACGGTTTTCTCATCGCTAGTACAAGTTTCGTCTGCTTATATGTCACTATGCAGTAACGAAACTGTCGCTGGTTTTTCAGGATGAGTCTGCTTTACAGTAAGATGCATTGAATCGGAAAATTTAGGTGCTAGCTCGCGGGAAATCACATTAATTAGGGTTTCCCGCGAAATACTCAGGAAATTTTCTCAGGAGTGTTTTCCATGTAGGCTACCACCAATTGCACATAGTGGGTGGGCATCAGGTTCAAAGGCAAGGTTGATTGGGAGAAGGCATTGAAGAGGGAACGAGCGGCACCATTCATACCCCACGTGCAAGGCGCTGATGATACCTCGATGTTTAATGGGTTAGCCCGGGGCGAGCGAGATTTGCGATATCGTTGTCACTACTGCTGCTACTAGGTACCTTGAGGCAAGTGGATACTCATCGCCGAGTGAATATTCATCGGCGTATATCGATGGCGACGATAATGAAGATGCTTTCATCGACTTTTGAGTGATTGCTGTTATCGTCCTTCTTCATCACCCTGTTTGTCTTTCTCCCTGCCTATTGTTGTTGTTGAGGAAGTGACCTCAACGAGGTCATATGAGAGTGTCGATGAGGCGGACTTTGTTCCGAATATCGGATTACCTGGTTACAAGTCGTCAAGACTGCCTTGGGCGTTACTCTATAAGATTGACTAGGTTGTACATAGTCTTCCCATGTGCATGTGCTCATTGAATGCAGCTACCCTATTCCCTGCGTGTTTTCTGGCCGCGATGGCTCGAGTTGGTCAATATCGGGGCTGAGAGGGACTGAGTACTCAGTGGTGTTTTAATGGGCTATGGGAGGTGTTATAAGTTGGCACTGGGTCAGTGTGAGGAAGCATGTAAACGGTCCACTTAGTTTGTCGGTGACGATATGGAAATTATAAGGAAATTTGAGTATTTTTTTTTTGGTTTTTGCGCATTTCTACCCGAATTCGTGTGTGACCTTCTATAATTGGTAAGGAAACTCCCGAGCTCAGCTGAGGAAACCAAACAGCGGCTGAGATTAATACATTTCCTGAATATTCTCGGTAACCTTGCGCTAGTATAGCACGATTATAAAATTCCCTACCTAAAGAGTTCCTATAGAGTACATAATGCGTGAAGTCTATTGTCGTTTATACTCTATAATATTCACCGTTCATGCGACTTTTTATCGCAAGCTATCATTGAATGATACAGCACGTGACATCGGGAGAAGTTCCAGGAGGGAAATCACATTTTTGGAAAAAAATGGTTGCAAATACATTTTGGAATTGTATGTGTAACCATTGTTTCTCGGGAAAGGTCATTTCCCGTTCCTAGATCTGTCGTACTGTAGATCGTTGGTATGGCTTTTTCCGTATTATACTGCCTGAGTACAGTCCCTGGCACTCATCTAATATGTTTGTTTCATCGCCACAGCATGAGACCTCGATGACTAGGGCCGACCTTATCACTGTGGAAAAAGTGGACAGGAAAGAGAGAAAAGGTAGGTTGGGGGTGATCGTCGTAGTCTTAAGTCATAACGTGTATGAAGATACATGTAGGCGCTTGATAGAAAGTTCGGTTTGGTATGCATGTAAGAGTGCACATCAGGAATCTGTTGATGTCAGATCGTGTTGGTGATGATACCCAGTCGGACTGGTCTGACGAGACCCCATACGAGAGTGACCAGGAGAGCAGTGTCGCGATTGTCGGCGAGTCTGCGTCCTTTGAAGACATGAGCGCCTTCTATAACAGAGTGGTGCATCACAGCGCTGGAAGCTCATCTTATATGAAAGTGCTAGAAGATATTTTACTGGTCATCGATACCGTTGGTGGTCGGCAGGTCGATGCATTACGGCAGAGATTCCTGCGTTTACTCAATGCCGTTCAGCTCCCTACACAGGCGGTTAAGATTTTGAAGGACCTCATGGGGACTGTGCAGGTGGGAGCTCAGGCTTGTGTCACAAGCCTGCCGTGACTGTAATTCACAAGCCTTGTGAATTACAGTCACGGTAGCGACAATCTAGAAAAGCTTCCTATGAGTATTGCGATGGTCTGACTTTTCTGCATCTTTCCCCGTGC